TCTCCACATCCTTTTTGAATTGTGGTGCCCAGAACTGGACACAGTACACTAAAGAGTAACACAGCCCAGCTCACACTTTACCAGCTTCTCAACAAGAATTCCATGGGATGTTGTTAAAGCTCTTGCTGAAATCAAAGCCATTCATGGTGTTTCCTGGTCTAGCAAGTTTATAATTTCATCAAAATAGCAAAAGAAAGGAAGGGGAAAAATTCAGGCATAATTCATTCTTGAGAAATTCATGGTGTCTCTTTCTAGCCACAGTATTCTTTTCTCACAACTGATCACAAACTGAATGCTTAATTATTGGTTCTAGAACCTTCTTGGATACTGACATCATGTTGATTGGTCAGTAATTGGACAGTACTTCCTTTTTGAACACATATCTGCCTATTTCCAGTCTCTTGATACTTCACCTGGTCTTCAAGAATTCTGAACAAATATAGGTAGAGGCACTGAAATTACATCTGCAAGTTCCTTGAGTACCTTAGGATGCAGTTCATCTGACCCTGAAGACTTGGATTCATTTGCAGTAAATGTGCTCCTGTACCTCCTCATTACCTGTCTTGAGCTGTGACTCCTTCCCTTCATCATTTGATCTATTTTTGCCAAGTCAGACAGTTTCCCCTGTGAGAGAAGACTGAAGCAAAATAGGAGCTAAGCAGTTCTGCCTTTTCTCTGTCAACCACTAACAAGTCTTCATCTTCTCCACACAGTTAGCCTGACAATGCTTTTTAATTCCTCTTGCTCTAAAGACAGTTTCAAAGGCCATTCTTAAGAGCGAGAGGTTGGGTTGGGTTGGGTTGGGTTGAGTAGGTTTTGGTTGGTTGGGTTGGGTTTTTTAGCGTCACATTCAAACCTATAATTATCCTACGTTTTTGTCCACCTGACACTCTTCCTACAAACTTTGACCAGTAATTTGTCCCTGCCATGGGTGGTTTACATTGCCTTCCATTTCCTGTACACTTAGCCATCTTTATCCACAGATTCCGCCTCTATGGATTTAACCATCCATGGCAAGAAAAAAAAATTAATGTGAAGTCGTAGGCTTTCATGGCCGGCATCCATAGTTTTTGT